AAAGAGTGAATAAGATGTTAATTAAATTCACTCAAACAAGACTGGACCCTCAGGTCTTACTGGACCATTCAAAAATATAGATCGGCAATCACTTTTTATTTCATTAAACACTTCAAGTACAGCTGTACCCCACTTAACGTGGTCAATAAAACCCAGAGGGTACCGTGTTAAGTGAAAACCGCGCTAAGTGAACAACAGAACATATGGGATTAATTCCAATAGAAACTGGCCCATCCCCAAACTCCACTTTTAAACGACACATAACTATGTTTATAGTAAAAATAACATCTTAATTTTATGATGGTACATGCACAAATTAATACTTAAGAAATACAGTCATAAGTTAATGTCCCATTCAAATAATGGACTCAACTCCCTCCCCCTCTTCTCCACACACAACACTGCAAACCACCCCCTCTCACAATTTTTGGGGGGAAAACCACTGGATTTTAATAAATAATACCTCAAACTAAAGTTAGGATAATATAATTGACATTGCTGGATTCCTTGTAAGACCAGGAATATTTTGAATATAAATGTCATATATTTTACGCAAAAGATAACATATTTACTCAGAGTAAACATTATATCTAAAATTTGTATGTCTAATGCAAAATCTATGATGTTTATATTCAAAATGATCATCAAATTGTAAGAATTCCAGCAATGTAAATTATATTCTGGCCGGGTAATTTGTATGAATTTTATGAGCTAAAACAAATATCTTCAGTTAAGAAAAAAAAATATTCTTCACAACACTATCTGTCAATCAAAGTACCCCACCTTGCCCCCTCATCCCAACAGCGTGGTCAATTCTAACCTCCCCCACCCCACAAATCTCCCATACAGATATATTTGGGTGAAAAAAACTAAATTTAACTTGACTGGTATTTAAATAATACTCAGATTAAGTTAGGATAATATAATTGACATTGCTGGATTCCTTGAAAGCCCAGGAATATTTTGAATACAAATGTCATATATTTTGCACAAAAAATAACATATTTACTCAGAATAAACTTTATATCTAAAATTTGTATGTCTAATGCAAAATCTATGATGTTTATATTCAAAATGATCACCAAATTGTAAGAATTCCAGCAATGTAAATTATATTCTGGCTGGGTAATTTGTATGAATTTTATGAGCTAAAACAGGCAGTCAGGCAGGGTGGCGGGTGGGGGGTGGTGCGAATCTAAAAATAGCTCTCGAGCCGACACTCACCACGTATATGATGAAAAATGCCACGTTAAGTGAAAGTTCAGCTTTGGCAAGGCACTGCGTATATGCGAAAACGCGTTAAGTGAAAGCGCGTTAAGCGGGGTAATACTGTATATATATATATATTATATATATATATATATATATATATATATATATATATATATATATATATATATATATATATATATATATATATATATATATGCTGATAACCACAAGGAAAGAAGAAAACACAAAGTTCCCAAGCGCTGACCATCTGACCTGACCACCAACCATTGTGTGCTATTTAAAGATTAGTAGGGTCATTACCTAATACCTGACCATTGTGGATCTGGTCTCACCCATCTCTGTATATATACACCTTGATTTATATTTCTCTCTCTAGTCTGTACTCGCCCCTGAAGATGTGAATTACACGAAAGCGCTTGGGAACTTCGTGTTTTCTTCTTTCCTTGTGGTTATCAGCATATACCTAGATCACGCGCACCTACAGTGATTTGCTTGCATATATATATATATATATATATATATATATATATATATATATATATATATATATATATATATATATATATATATATATATATATATATATATATATATATATATATATATATATATACATATATACATATATATATATACATATATATATACATATATACATATATATATACATATATACATATATATACACATATATACATATATATATACATATATACATATATACAAATATATATATACATACATATATATATATATATATATATATATACATATATATATACATATATACATATATATACACATATATACATATATATATATATATATATATATATATATGTGTGTGTGTGTGTGTGTGTGTGTGTATATATATATATATATATATATATATATATATATATATATATATATATATATATAATATATATATATATATATATATATATATATAAGCAAATCACTGAGTGCAGCGTGATCTAGGTATATGCTGATAACCGCAAGGAAAGAAGAAAACACGAAGTTCCCAAGCGCTTTCGTGTAATTCACATCTTCAGGGGTGAGTACAGACGAGAGAGAGAAATATAAATCAAGGTGTATATATACAGAGATGGGTGAGACCAGGTCCACAATGGTCAGGTATTAGGTAATGACCCTACTAATCTTTAAATAGCACACAACGGTTGGTGGTCAGGTCAGATGGTCA